ATATATATATATATATATATGTTCAATTATGGTTGCAAATAATAGACATTTGACACGAGCTACCAAGGGTGTGATTGATATAAAAATCCAAACAATTTCCAGTCTATTTTTATCAATCTCTTTTTTAACTCAAATTTAACTAAATATTATTATTCTCAATATTATCAATATAATTAAATAATACTAATTAATCATCTTTTCAAATCACAATTTTAATTAACTATCCATACATTCACATAATTTTAACTACACATCATTTTTAATTACTTCTCTCTTATTTTACTTCAAATCAATTTAGAAGATTTATTTTAAATTTTTATTTTAATACAAACTCAAAATCCTACGGCCTGCCCAAACTTATCCCAACCATTTTTTTTTTTTAAATATTTATGGTTAATAGAAAAAAAACAAAGAATATCCAATTACAAACTTATATCCAAGCACACCCTCATCTATCAAAACTTTGAAAGTTGAAATATATTCTTATATAGTTATTTGATTTGACTTTTAAGATAAAAAAAAAAAAAATGCATTCTTTTCACTAGTAGAATACACAAACAAATAGTATATTATAATATGGGCAAAATTGCATTTTATGCCCCGTAACTATGAGTGTGTGGCAAATGTGGACAACTTCTTTTTGGTTTGGCAAAAGTGCCCTGAAACTTGTTAAAACCCGAAATTCGTGCCCAATTTGGGCACAAATTTCAAATTTTAACAAGTTACTGTCCTGTTTTGTCACACGAAAAACCGGTCATATCCGGTAACTTGTAGGTAAATGGGCACGAATTCCGGGTTTTAACAAGTTTTGAGGCACTTTTGCCAAACCAAAAAGAAGCTGTCCACATTTACCACACACGTATAGTTACAGGGTACAAAATACAATTTTGCCTTATAATATGACCAGCTTACCAAAAGGCAAAAATTTGCCAATGAAATTCTTCAGAATTGTGGGTCAATTCTTCACATCTGGTCTATTAGAATATTGCAATAATTATTACCTTCCCATGGCCATAATCATAAATCTAAACAATTAAACAAGTTCAATGTACCTACAAAAGTCATCATACTTTCTCTCATAAGTCAACTATATACATAAAATTATGGGTTAATTGCAAAAAAAACTCGGGCATGCTTGTTTATGAGTTAATTTACTCAACTTTATTTCATACTCAAAATCTAACTAAATTCTCACTCAACCCCACTATCTTTAATATTATTCATATAATTAAATAATACAAATCAATAATTCTTACACATCACATCAACTTTAATTCACTATTCATCCACTCACATAATTTTAACTACCTATCATTTTCAATCATTTATCTCCTACTTTTACATCAATTCAAATTTAATTATTTTATTTTAAATATTATTTTAATACATTCTTAAAATTTTATTAACAACTAATTATACCATATTTTTCAAAATTAATTATGGTTAACCAAAATAACTCATTTTGAACAAATTATTTCATAAACAATCAAGCCCTCAATCTTTTGTTTTTGCAAATAAAACTCAACCTTTTCAATTTTGCAATATTAAGTATTGCAATTTTGTCTCAAAATTGAATTCGGCCAAGACACGCCGACATGTCCGATCAGAAAATTGACATAGCACTCAAAATTTAATAGTCAGTGTCACGTCATCAGACACATGAACCTCCACGTCACAACC